ATGTGAGATATGGAGCAAAGGATTCACTTTCTTTCTTTCTTTCTTTCTTTTTTTTTTTTTAATACTTTCATCCTGGAATTTCTGAAGTGAGGAAAGTAATTGTTGGATAGGGCTGAAGAATTGTGCGTTGAGTATTAGTAGGAAGGGAGTGTCGGTGGAAATGTCGACTAATGAATTTTTCCTAGTGAAATATGAGGCCTGCAATCATGCCTCATCAGTTGGCTACTCCATCAAATTTAGTTAACTAACAATTTCCACCACTATTAATCCCTGGCTGTGGTTCAGTGCTTTGGATTAAAGCTCTGACCCACATAGAAGAAATAAAATACAGACAGGTAGTCTACTTTGAGACAGATTATGACTCAAAGTATAGGCGTGGCTAGGCCTTTGTAGGCTAACAATTCAGAGAGAGTTAATCTCCAATGACCTGTGTGCTTTGAAATCTCTACTTCACTAAAATTTGTTAGAGGTATTTGGGTTAAATTAAACTGCCTAAGTGAGTCAATAAAATTGGACAGCAGATCCTAAAACATAAGCCCCCTCCTCACCTCCTGCCAATTCTCTGAGGTATAGATGATACACTGCAGGAAACTGGTAAGTCACATCCTTCTGAGAACAGCTCTGCCTTGCTAGATTAGGGAGACATTGAAGAAATGAGGGATCCACCTTGTTTACGGGGTAGAAGCAGGCCTATGTGGGTATTTCCCACCTAGCTTCTAGGAGCCAGGTTAAATGTATCTGCTTTGCAATCTTTCTCATACTTTCTTCAATTGTGATTTCTTATCCCTCAGATCTTGCTTACCATTTTATGAATTTCTCTCTGATGCTATTTGTCGTGTTCACTCATGTTTTATTATGATTACACATTAAATTTTCTGTTTGTACTTTTAGACTTGAAGACAAGTTTATGTCTTATTTACTTTGGAACACTAATTGTATTAAATTGTGCAGCTTACATAATGTATGTTTTCAATATGTATTTGTTAAATGAATTAGAATGTTTCCATGATAACTAAATTCTTATGATCAAACTGTCCTTCAAGATGAATTTCATGAGATATATCCACATAATAAAATTTGATGGTAATCAAATATCAAATGAGATACAGCTATAGATATGCAAGAATAGAAACTTTCAGTAAATTTGAACATGTTTTAAAGGCAAATTTAACTTTCTTATTTGTTTTCATTTTAAAACTAGATATAAAGTCATATGGGGGAAATCATAACAAAATTGAAAATTTATGGCTGGGTAACGTATTTTGTGGTATGTTATTTCTTTTGTTACCTTATTTTTATATTGCTTTTTTAAAACCCATATTGCCATAATTATTGTTTTGGTGAAGTCTTTTTGTACAAGAGAAATTTCTGAAAATCATACATTTTACAGAAAAAAAATTTCTAATTAAATAACAAATGAACCATTTAAAATGAATATTGGGTTGAAATGTGGAAACTGATTGATTATATTCAATGAGAGAAGAGAAGTGTGATTCCACAAGAGTAAAACACAGATATTAAGGGGAGTGGGAAGTAAGGTATAACTACCTGTTTTCTTTGTGTAATTTCCTATGGTTATGACTTAGATTGATAGTCTGTTCAGCATGGCATAAATTATTCTGTGTCAACAAATTATCAGAAAATCTCAGTGGTTTACACAAACTACGGCTGTTTCTCATTCATACTACATGTTCAGTATACGTATGTCCCATTTTCTTTACGATCTGCACTTATTAAAAAATTTAATATGTCAAAAGACAAGACCACCACTCAATATTTAAAACAAAAACCTGAAGGCTGAATTTATTGCGTATTTAAGTGAGGGAAAGCTAGGTGTATATATTCTTTAAGGACAGCAGGGAATGGATACTTTAAAGGGCTTTGGGGAAGCATGGGTTTGGGGGCTGTCTGACTTAGAGGATAGACGTGTGTTCTGCTAGGCTGCAGAAACATGGTTACTAGAGTGAGACTCTCACTGAGTCATTGACATGCAGCAAATGTTTCTTTTGTGAGTTTATTCTTAACTGGATAACATTTAGAAGTGAAAGGCCATCCCTGATTGGCTGATATTCTTGAGTGGATTTGGGTGATTATTACTGCCATGCCTATAGACCTATCCTTGATTGAATAGCTTTAAAGAGTTTGGGTGTTTACTTGATAGTATGGTTGCCAGTCTTTTTCTAGTAGTGTGGAAACTTTTGCTATTTTATTTTTCCATAGCAGCCAGAAAAGAGAAGATGGTAGAGCTATGTGAAAGCTTTTACATCTTCTATTTAGATGTGACACATGTCACTACTGTTCACATTTTATTGGTGGAAGAAAATCACAGAGACAAGCCTAATAGCAGTGGATAGAGAAGGTACAGCGAACCCACAGGGAGAGGCAGCGAATATTTCAAGGAATAATGGGATCTACTACACAGGTAGAAGTTATCACTGAAGGGAAATGCAACATTAACAGAGATGGTGTAATGTCTCCTTAAAAGTATAGCCAAGCATTATTGTATGAAAAAAATACCCATTTTTGATACGTTTTTAAGAAATACCTTCTTGTAAGTGCCTTCATTCATGGCACTGGAGGCTGAATGATAGCCAGAAAGTCCTATTCATAAATGTCACAAGTTGTTTTTTGATGTATCCCTTCCGTTGTAAATTCTAAGGGGCAAGAACATCTCTGTAGATCATCTTTATGTGCTATCTCATCTGACTGGCAAGAAGAAAACCATGACCTGGGGAAAACAAAGTCACACATAGCTGCAAGACCAATTCATTAAAACACCATTTTGATCAGCTCACATAAAATTCCCTGAAAGTTTATCTTCTCTGGACTGGCATTTCTAGTTTGATTCATTTATTTTTTAAAATCTCCTAGTACAAACATCTCTGAGAATGACATCGATAATAAATTCTACTCTTATTCTTTAGTTTTGAAGGATCTTAGGAAGTGTTTTCACACGCAGTTGTTCAAGTAGTATCACACAAACCTTTGCTTTATAGTTGAAGTTGAAATGAACACCGAACAGCCCAACTTGGAGGCTCAGAGTTCAGTGTTCCTTTTACGTGATGGAAATAGAAGTTGGGATTTGTCTCAGGTCTGATGTGCTTTATGTTACAGCTTGTCTGTTGAGCCAGACAAGTTGAGCCACTTGCTGTTCCCCCTCAGTGCCTTTTGCTTTAGTTGCTTTTTGCCTTTACACATGTGATCTCATCATTGCACACCAGGCCCACCTTGTTCATAACCGGGCAGTGGGGGCATGCTGTTTTATCTAGGTTAACAAGCTGACAAGATTTGTTGATATTGGGCAAACTTTATCAATTAGCTGACCATTTGATTAAGTTGGGGCTGTTAGATATTTTTCTGACTTTTGTATTAGAATATTTTGAAAATATAGATTAATATAATTTCCCCAGATTCCAAACCTTTGCTAAGCCCATGGACCCTTAAGTTTATATATAAACCTGAAGATGTTTGCCGTTGGATGTTTGCTAAACCCATGGACCCTTAAGTTTATATACAAATCTGAAGATGACGTACACTGATAACCAAGCATAAGCAAAGGTGATGATGACGATGACATCTGCTATTTGGTGACCCTTCATTCTGTGACTTGGGCTGCATTTCATATGTTGTATCCTCTTTTGAAGATAAATATGAAATATGAACTATGTAGTCTCTTTTACAGATGCAGTTTGCACCACAGTAAATGCTAAATTTGGGATTCAAATCCAGGAAGAGCCAATACACTCTGTCTTTTATAGCAATAAACATGCGTGAGTGTGTGTGTGTGTGCTGTTTGGTATAGGCAAAAGCGGGAAAATTAGGAAGAATGAATCCAGGGGATCATCTGAGGAGGTACAGTATCAGCACTAGAAATGTGGTGTACCTGGAACCTGCCAGACAAAATAGCATTTGACAAACTGGGTGGCAGGATGTTTAGGTTTTATCCGATGTTAATCATTACCATCTTAATGGCAGCTGTCCTTGCCTGATAGAAAGCCACTCCTCCACACACTCTGCCCTCGCCTTTCCCCTGAATTGTTCTGGACTGCTTCTCTCCGGAGCACAAATTGCTGAACCATCTAGTCTTCGCATGGTATGCTGCTAATATACTCAAGACACCACTATGTGAGTTTAAATTACCCTATGCCAATAAAATACTCACTTTCCATGTCAAATAATGTGTGGAAGGAACGTGTTTCACTTCCGTTTATGGGTGGACGTGATGTATCTGCTCTATACACACAGCGCTTAGCATAACAAAACACGGTTTTCAGATAAACGACTACTGTATTCTCTACATTCATCTTCCCTGCCTCTTTTTCCCCTCAGAAATGTCTGCAATGTGTTTTGTTATTGGTTGGCATGTGCAGGTTGGTTTCTTTTAGGATAAACAGGTTTTGGATTTTCAAGCAGAACAAGGAAAGAAACATGGTGAAACCTGCCTTCTGCCATGGCCCAAGGGGATAGAACAAAGTCAGCCGCCGGGGAGAGGTGGTCTTTAACTAAAGGTTGAATAACATTGTCCTAGAGGCTTTGAGATTAGCTTCAAGTGGCTGTGTTAGGTAGGGGGCTGACCTTAGGAGAGTTAGACAGGAAAACATAATGTTCGAAAGCCAATGCTTTTGGTTCCCTCAGACTTTTGTTTTCTCCTATTCAGAAATGTGAAATGCTGACTTGTCTGCAATCCTTACTTTCTTCATTAGATTATACAGAGGTGTGGACTAAGAGAATTAATTGTCAAGAAGTTCATAATGGAAGGGTATCAGATGATGCCCCTCAAAAGTTCCCACTTCGGTAGAAGGATTATTTTGAATTAAAGATACCTGAAAAATAACAAATGCAATAGGGCATTCTAACCTCTCGTCTTCTTCCTGAAAATAGGAGATTAAAACTTCAATGTGAAAGATGTCCACCCTATATTGAGAGAAAAAAATTGTTTAATGGAGAGTCATAGCTCAGAGAATTCTGTACAAATTGATTGTTTTTTTTTTTTTTAACATCAGGTGACAGCATGAATGTGGTCCCCCACTACCACAAATTATCCAGTCAAGTTTCCCACATTTGGAGAAATCATAGGAGTCAGCACATCCAGAGTGCAATGGATAAGCCTGGCCCTGAGAAAACTGCCTTGGTGATTATGTTATTCCCCCACCAGGGAAGTCAAACACATCTTATTAAAATCATTCTTTTTTCTTCCAGCCTCCCCACACAATTCAGTTACTTTCCCACAATTACCTCTCTTTGTTCAACCTAATATAAAAGCTTTTGAATTTTGTCACTTCTTTGGGTTTTCATTTCCTTGTGAGGGCTCCCTTGTCACATAAAACTTATATGCTTTTCTCCTGTTAATCTAGCTTATGTGAATTTAATTCTCACTCCTAGATGGGACCATAAGAAGGTGGAGGTAAATGGTTCCTCTCTCCTATGGCAACAATTTGGAAGAAGTTAAAAGGTGTATCCCAAGGTGGCTACCACGATTACCATGATTGGAATGGCTTAAAACAATGGAAATGTCATCTCTCACAGTTCTGAAGGCTGTAAGTCTGAAATCAAAGTATGAGCAAGAGCGTGCTCTGTCTGAAGCTTCTAGAGGATGACCCTCCCTTGCCTCCTCAGGCTTCCAGTAGTTGCTGGAAATTCTTGGAGTTCCCAGCTGGGCTTGTGGATATGTCACCCCACTCTCTGCTTCCATTGTCACTGGGTATTGTTTTTTTTTTTTTTTTTTTTTGTTTTTGAGAGTCTCAAGCTGTTGCCCTGGGTAGAGTGCCTTCGCACCATAGCTCATAGCAACCTCAAACTATTTTCTTTTTTTTTTTTTTTTGCAGTTTTTGGCTGGGGCTAGGTTTGAACCCACCACCTCCAACATATGGGACTGGTGCCTTACTCCTTTGAGCCACAGGCGCCTCTCGTCACTGGGTATTCATTCCTGGGTGTCTGTCTGGATCCAATTTTCTTTCTACTTCCTTTTTGGGGGATGTGGGGAAAGGAAGAAGGATTTTTTTGTCAGAACAAATGAGGGGACAGTACAGTGGAACAGTGAGCCTCATGCATGCAGGCTCACCACTTGTCCAGGGGGCCACAAGAGGGGATGTATTTGACCCCACAGCCATCTGAGATGAGCCACTTCTCAGCTACCATGTCTTCAAATTTATCTGCATTAAACTTGGTAAAACCCCACTTGGAGATGTGAATCTTCTGGTGGCCAGGAAACTTGAACTTGTTCCTGTGTGGGGCCTAAATCACATACTCCTTGTTCTGCAGTTTGGTTTAGATGGATGTAATGACTTGGCCAATGTGAGTCCTGGCCACAATGCCATGGGGCTTTCTAAAAGCATGGTGAGTACCGTCTAGAGCTTAGACTGGGGACAGTACAAGTCTAACATATGGACATGTATCAGAAAGGAATCCCTCCAAGGTCCCTTAGAGCAACCCAAGTAAGCAACAGGCTGCATACAATTACCAGATAGGCTGCTATTTGCAGCCATTGCACACCAGGCCCCCAAAAGGAAAAGAGCATGGTCAGCTTAATTAGCTGCAGACAAATTTCCTTCTTCTTATAAGGATTCCAGTCATTGACTTAGTGCCCATCCTTATTCTGCATAATCATATTTTAACTTGATTATATCTACAAAGACCTTATTTCCAAATAAGGTCACATTCTCAGGTACTGAGGATTAATACTTGAACATATCTTTTTGAGAGACATGATACTAACCCATTCCAAGAGGCAAAGCTACATAGTGCAGAAAGCACTAGATTTGGAGCAAAGGTACAACTAAGTATTGGCTTAGTGAGAGGAAGTGGTAGTTAGCACACTTCATTATTTACAGCAGCCCTCCTGCTGATTTCTTTTAGGTGAAGTATTGACCTTTTATCAATTTATACTAAATGTTATATAAATGCAGCTTTCAGATAAGTCTGCTAGTTTCTTTTCCCAGTCTGTCAGTCCTAAATCCTTGCAGTGTAGAAATTCTGGAGCCACTGACTTGGAATCAGAAGATGAGTTAGTTGTAAACTCCACCATTTCTTACCAAAGGTCTATATGATGAGAGAAATTACAGCTCCATCTACCTAGTTAGATTAAATGATATACTAATACTATAATAATAAGATGTGGAGTGGGAATTTTTATTTTGCCTCAGAATTGGCAACTAGATCCTATAGTTACAGTCCAAGAAATATTTAAAAAATACTTTGTTTAAAACAAAACATAAAAATTGAGGCCTCTTTTTATTAAATGCAAGCTTTGAATCTGCATTGCTGTTCCAAATCATTGCCAATATCATATCTCATAAATTCCCATGTCCTTACCACCTAAGCAGAGGACTAGTAAAAGGACGGGAGGGGGAGAGGAGAATTGTCTGAACGCTGTGTCTAGAGTAGTGGGCAGTGCTGTGACATTTTGTTCTTTCTGTCCTCACTTGCTTTATATTGGCAGGAAAATTGCAAAGTGATACCACTTCTCTGCCTTTATTTTGTGACTTTTCAGATTCTTCTAATGGCAGGTGGAATCCTATGGATTGGCTCCATGACTTGCTTTGGGTGATAGAATACCAAAGCGAGTTCTGAGTCTAAGCCTTGCATATTTCACTCTTTCTTTAATCCAGCCACCACCTGAAAACAAGCTCAAGCTGGCCCCTCAGAAGATATGAAGGGCATGTGGAGTACAGGAGACCTGGGTTGTCCCAGATGGAACCATCATAGACCAGCTATTTTCCAGCTGATTCATCAGTTGACTACAGATGCTTAAGTGATTCCAAATGAGTTCATGTGAGTCTCAGCTACATTGGCTGAAATGCCTAGATGCCCTTAGACTTTTAGAAGTAATAAATGGTTGTTGTTTTAGATCCCTGAGCTTTGGGGAGTTTTATTATACAGCAGTATCTAAATGATACAGAAATTGGTACTGTATAAGTAAAATGTTGCCATAACAAAATCCCCAAATATGTTTCACTGATTCATATATGGTAGATGGAGGTTGGAAGCAATCACAATCTTTGTTTGCAGGAGCAAAACTTGTGTTAAAATGTGGCCCATGGTAAAGAGGAAGATAGAAATTGTTGCCAATGCACTTTTGGACCTGACCAAGTTGATCTCCAGGGAAATAATTGTTATGTGTTGTCTGGTTGCTCTTAGCTGCATATGATAAGGAAAACCTAAGAAAGAGATAAGCTAAAGATAGAAGTGTGCACTAATTTGCTCACAGAATTTAGAGGGAATATAGAAGGCTTTCTTTGTTGGAAAATAAAACTATTTATCTCCAATCTCTTTTACCAGTAAAAGTAACATGAAGTATGGATACAAAGATCAAATTAGAGTAAGGGTATGAGTAACAATTCTTTGTTAACACTTAAGAATTAAATCTTTATAAGAATTAAGAAGTCTTAATCAGAAAAGTGAGAACTTTATTCTTTTTTGAGATAAATAAGGCCACGCTTAGTAGATCTACTCAGCTGGATCAAAAGAACATTTTAGGAAATTTAGATAGGTGTGATCTCACACACACACACACAAACCAGATCCCAAAGTAGCAGTGATTCTATCTAGAAAGTGAGACAGAAAAACAATTTTGGATGTGACTTTTGGAATATGAAGCATGAAATAATCAGGTTCCTACAAAGCTCATGAAGCTTTTAATTGGATCGTATTGACAATAGAGCAGCTAAATTGAGGTAAAAGAAACTGATACTGTTCACATTTCAGAAATAACTCTGGACCCTCAATTTAATATGGAGAGGAACTAGGTTGAGAGAGCTATTCGGCTGTGAACATCAGCTCTTTCTTTAGATATAAGATGTGATGCAAAAGGACATTCCTGACCTAAAAGGCAAGAGGATGGTAGCAAGATCTGAGGAGAATATTAGGTAAGAGCAGTCACTTGCAAATAGTAGAACAAGGATCCAATAAAGGAACACTACCAAACTCTGGACTGCTGGTTCTGGCAACATTCGCCTAGTAGGATTTCAGAATTGATGTCAAGAGGTGACTATTCCATACCTTTCATTCCACACATTTTTAAATGAAGGAGGTCATTATTCTTTCCTAGATTTATTATCATATTTGGGTTCTGAAAAGCTTCTCCTTTTAGGTCAAAAATCTCAGGGTCTTGAGGAACTACAGCAAGACCTGATATATTATCATGATCATCACACCATGACTGGGTGAAGCATTTAAAGGTCTTAGGAGACAGTGAGTGTATTTTGCATGTGGGATAGATATGAAAAATTGAGGCCAGAGGGCCTGTTAATTTAATCATTTCGGTTCTTTCCTTTATGCTAGCTCTTTTCAATGTAGCGTTGCAGTTTCTGACATCAGTAAGTGGAGTCTTGCTGGGCGTAGTGGATCACATCTGTAATCCTAGTACTTCGGGAGGCTAAGGCAGGTGCAAGGCTTGAACTCCCAAGTTTGAGACCAGCCTAAGAAAGAGTGAGACCCCATCTCTAATGAAAGTAGAAAAACTAGCTGGGTGTCATGGCAGGTACCTGTAGTCCCAGTTACTTGGGAGGCAGAGGCAAGAGGATCGCTTGAGCCCAAGAGTTTGAGGTTGCTGTGAGCTATGATGATGCCATGGCACTGGACCGAGGGCAACAAAGTGAAACTCTGTCTTAAAGAAAAGTGGAGTCTCTTTCATTACTTCTTGGATTTGGAATGAATGACCTTGTGACTTTTTTTCGCTACATCATTTAGCAGAAGTGATAGTATTCCGGTTCTACCCCTATGCTTTAAGATACCTTGCATTCTTCCTGTGTTCTTCTTGGAATCTCATCCTTGTCAGGACATCAAATCCAGGTAAGCCCACCAGAGGAGAGACAGACGGAGGAGCACTGTGTCTTCCAGCTGGGACCATCGTAGAGCTCACGGGCTGCAGGTAAATGGGGTCCCCAGCTGAACTGGAGCTTCACCCAGATCAGCAGAACTCTATAGCAGGTTCTAGACATATGAGAAATAATAAATGCTTGTTGTTTTAAGAGTATCATACATTTGTATGGTTTCTGATGCACTGATAGCTAACTAACACTCTGCTTATCTTAGTCTGTGTATAACAGACTCAGTTGACTGAGGCTGGGCAACTTATAAGCAATAGAAATTTATTTTTTACAGTTCTGGGGGGTGAAAAGTCTAAGTTAAAGCAGGTTTGGTATCTGGTCTCTGCTTCCAAGATGACGCCTTGTTGCTACATCCTCCAGAGAGAGCAAACACTGTGTCCCCACCTGGTAGAAGGTGCAGAAGGGAATGTACCCTCTTCCTCAAGCCCTTTCCTGAGGGATCTAATCCTGTTATTCATGAAGGCTTTGCTCTTCTGACTTAATCACCTCTTAAGGGTCCTACCTCTTAATGCTATCATACTGGTGATTAAATTCAACACATGAATTTTGGGGGACATTCAGACCACAACAATACCTAAATCAAGCAAGGGGAAAAGGTCCAACCAAACCATCCATCCATAGTCTGGGGATGCCCAAGAGCACGGACGATGAGCCTGTTCTATCATAGGAATTCTCTTATGCATTGGGCTTACTGATCTGCCTCCGGGCCTGTGGAAGTTGTTTTTGTAACTGAGAGGGCTTTTCTGGCTACCAAGCTAGTTGTCTTTTTCCCCTAGCCGCCAATAATTGTTCATAATGTGAACCACTGGTAGAAGTTGAGCCATTTTAGAAAACTCAATGTTATGGCCCCCTCGTATACCTCAGGGAGGTAAATAGTAAGTAGGTGCTGAGGGGAGAGTCAGTAGCAGATGCATCTATGCTGAGGGCACCAGGGCTCCGTTAGCTGGAGAACAGTGACAGTCAACTGAAGGACTCTTGCCCCTTGGCCTCCATCTTTCTCCTATGTTTTCAACAAGGGAGAAGCTAAAACCAGAAAGCACAGTTGGAGGCCTAGTGAGCAGATCATGCTCATTCCTGACTTAAAGCCCTTGGTTTTCGGGAAAAAAATATGAGATTGGAGTTTTAAACCACTATTGGTTATATTTTTATGCTTCAAAGTCTGAAAGTGACTCTGAATCTATGGGATATATCTAAGATATCTTTAATGAACAGAAAAGATTTGACAGGGTTTGGAGAAAAATAAAGTTGTCTCAAGTATATAACTGAACAAGTCAAAATTGTTCAGTAGAAGGACTTTAAATAGCTATCATACCACACATTCACATCTGTGCTTTGTGAAAAGTTTCACAGACATGTTAGTATATATGCATCAGTAAAAACACATAACATTTGTTTGTTTTGTAAACTATAAAATTCTATAAAAATGATGCATTCTATCAATTATAACTTCAAATATTGGTTTCTATATATTCTATTACAGTAGAATTTATGTAAGTTGATGACCCCAGGGACTATAACAAACTGCTCAGCATACAGAGGTGGTGAGGAACTTCCACTGAGTATATATAATCCATGTCTAGTCCTATGAAAACCAGGTCAACTTAAAGAGGTGGCCGATATAGGGAGGTGACCAACTACTGATTTTAAATGTGGGGAGAGTTACTAAATATCTCAAATTTATCTTTACTTGCTCCAAAATGGAATATTTTTT